AAATCCTTAAACTGAATATAAAGTTCATTAAAAATATCTAAAAGTTCTTCATTGTCTAAAGAATCATTTACTTCATCTTGTGCCATGAAACACAAGTGAGCGGATTCTTATCTTTCTTCTTCTTTGTCGGAAGAGGATGAATCGTCGCTATCATCCCAAGTCATCGCCATATCCTTCTTCTTCTTCTTCTTGAAGTTGTTGAAATTGTTGGAATTTGTGAACTTTGACTTTGACTTGAGTAGCGGACAATCCTTCTTTATGTGACCTGGCTTATTACAATTAAAACACAAAGAAGAGTCATTAGTATTCTTAAATTTATTTGATTTAAACTTACCTTTCTTAAGAAATCGTTTGAATTTGTTAGTAATCATTACAATATCCTTATCAGCTTCGACGGATTCATCGGTGTCAGAGGATGCATTTAAGGCAAGTATCTTCTTCTTCTTTGGTTCGTCATCCTTCTTTCTATCTTCAATTCGAACTTCATATACCATCAAATTTCTAATAAGATTTTCTAAGGTGAGAGTTGATAGATCGTTGGCTTATTCCATCGTCGTAGTCTTCTTCTCCCATTTCGGAGTTAGTGCTCTTAGGATTTTTCTTACTATCTCAACTTGAGTATATTCTTTGCCAAGTTCAATCAAGGAGTTAGTAATATCTGTGAACCTTGTGAACATCTCCGTGATGGATTCATTCCCTTTCATCTTAAATAGTTCAAATCTGTGAACAAGAATAGAAATTTTGTTTCTTTAACTTGTTAGTTCCTTCATGTGTAACCTCAAGAGTGTGGCAAATTTGATGTGCTGATGTAGAGGTAGACACTCGATTGAATTCGTTCTTGTCCAAGGAATAAAACAATACATTTATCGCCTTATAGTCCATATTTACATTTGTCCTTTGAATAATTGTCTATTCAATGTAAGGAGTGGTAGGCTTTGTAAATTCCGTCTTTACAATGTTCCATAGATCGTAGCCAACAGATTGAAGGTAGATCTTCATCCGACACTTCAAATAGTTATAGTTTGTGCTGTCAAAAAGAGGTGGTCACTGTGTAGAATGTCCCTCTTTGAATTGTGATGTATTTGTTGTACTTGATGATGTCATCCTTCACCTTGCTCTGATACCAAGTGTAGGATCTGATCTAATACACACTAAAACACTAGAGGGGGGTGAATAGTGTTCCTTTTAAAAATATGCAAAGTAGATTATAAATTATAAGAAAGATAGCAACAATCACAAAAATTTCTAATCACAAACACAAGCTTTTATACTGGTTTCACTTCCCCGGTGTACATCCAGTCCCCAAGCAAATCCAGCTTAAGAGTTCTACTATGATATTGAAAAACTAATACAAAATCAAAAACAAATCTGACCAATTTGCAAGATCATGCAAATTGCACACAATCTCTTCAACAAGAGATCACAACTCTCACACCCGAGAGAACTTTCTTTTAATCAACAACACAATTCCTATAAGCCTTGAATGTATAGTGATGTACACCAGTGGCTTTAGGAACATTTTAACCTTAGGAAATTGCCTAAAATTGCCTAAAAGGCTATTTTAGAGAACACTTTTTTGTCAACACTTAGGCAAAAATCTAAATTTAGAACTCTTAAGAATGCACAAATGTTAAAGCTTATGGATAGAATTGAATGGTGTAAATTTCTGAACTTCTAACCTATTTGTAACCCTTGAAAAAATAAGTTTTTAAAGCCAATTAACGGATCAAAACAGCTACAAATAGTCACAAATTCAAACTTGAAATATCAGAAAAACTATCTTTGTAGTCGACTATAACTCCTAGTAGTCGACTACACTGAGTTCAAATAGACTCTGTGAAGTCAGGATTTTTCTTAGTAGTCGACTACTATAGTCATTGGTCAACTACTCTGTAAAGATAGAAAATCTAGAATTCAAATTCAAATCTTAGTAGTCGACTATACTTTCTAGTAGTCGACTATAATGTAATTTGAATGAACCTTGAAAAATTGAATTTAACCTTAGTAGTCGACTACAGATAGTCATTAGTCGACTACACTGTATTTTTACAGAAACTTGAAAATCTGTCTAAGTCTTAAGTAGTCGACTACATTGTATATTAGTCGACTATACTGTTATTTGACAGAAGCTTGAAATTATGTCTAAGGCATGAGTAGTCGACTACTATTTTCAATAGTCAACTACACTGTCAAATGGTAAAAACTTAATATTTTGATCAGTGTGCATGTAGTCGACTATAAATCTTATTGGTCGACTACTAAGGGTTAAAAATGATATGAATGAAGTATTTTGAGACTCATTCTTTAACTATAAACTCTAATGGTTAACATAGGAGATTTCTATTGTTAATCAACACACTAAGCATGTGTTATTGTGTTCTAAACACTATGTATGTATATGTGTTGTGAGTGATCAAGATTTGTACAATAATTATAAGTAAAAAAACGTAAAATTTACATTGTATATGTTTAACCACTTCATCTTCTTTACTTCATATTATCTTGAGCTCATCTTGTACTTTTGTTCACATATCTTAAGCTTATTTGAAGTTGATATCTGCAATGATATGTTAGTGCACAACAATACACATAGTGAATAAATTATTATCATCAAAACTATATCTTGGGGACATGATATCCAACACACTTCACGTTTGATGGAGATTACTCCTTGTTCTCTAGATCATTCTGTATTGTTTGGGATTCCAACTGAGATGACACAGTTTGAGGATTATATAGTTGATGTTGATACAGATGATGAGTTTAAGGATCAGGAACTAGAGGTTCAGGATCAGATTTCGAGTTCAGTGGGTGGACACAGGTCAGATTTTTCTATGATTGGTAATTGTATTTCTTCTACGTATAGAGTTGAGGGGTTAAGCTCCAAGACAGAGTTGGTGGGGAGAGATGCAAGTTTGGAAGAGAGTTTGTCTTTTTACTTTGAGTCCAACAGGGGCGTGATCAGCTGCAGATTGGTTAGTGTTGATGATCAAAAAGTTGGTGAAGGATTAAGAATTCTTCTAGTTGATTGAGGTTGTTTGCGGCCATTTGGATAAACTACGCGAGGCTTGATTCATTGGGCAAGATGATACATAGGTAGTTATTTTGATGCACTCGGTTTTGGAGTTTGTTCGCATTCTCATTTGGGTTCTTGATTTGTTGTGAATTGAGTCTGATGTCGTGGATTGTTCCACTTCGTGCAGGACGCAACAAGTGAGATGTTTGATTTGGTTGGTGTCGGCTCAGTTTTGGAAAAACTTTACCGATGTGGAGAATTGTAGAAACGGGAACGATGACGATGAAGTTCAGGCAAATTGACAAAGAGAACATTGTGGAGGCCATACGGTCGACCGCGATGACTTCGGTGGTCGATCGGAAACATGCACGAGTACAGGGTGTGTTTCTGCACTTTGGCCGGTCCACCGCCAAACCCTATAATCGATTTTTGGTTTCTGTCTTTCTGGTCGGTCAACCGCAACGATTTCGACGATCGGCCTCCTGTCGAGTTTGGGCCTGAGCTTCGTTTCTTATTCTGATTTAGTTTGTGTTTTGATATATATTGAAACACGGTTTTAGGGTTTTGTATTGATCAGAATTTGTTCTGAATTGAGAGGGATAATGGGTGATTTCGAGCTTTCTTGTGAGAGCAAATTGGTGAGAGTTGAGAGCTTTGTTTGAGAGATTAATTTGAGGGTTTTTGAGTGATTTGTAATCTCTATTTTGTGTTTTCTCTCTAATAGTGGAAACCCCTCCCTTCTTGCCCTATGGACGTAGGCAACTTGCTGAACCACGTAAATCTCATGTTTTGAGTTTGTGCTGTTATTTTTTATTTGATTTTTGTGTGTGCCTTCTCTCTCGGCAACTTTATGGATTCCGCTGCACCGCCGCACAACATAGATGTCTTTCTTATTAGCCAAAATCCTTTACAACAAAATTCCCCCACCCTCCCACTTGGCCCGATCCACTGTGCCTTTATCAATAAGCCTTTTATCCTAGTGAGTGTCTGGGCATTGAATCCAGTCACTTCTCATGATTGGATCCTATCAATTCCGTACTGAATTCATGGTGAGTCCCACGATCAAAACCTACACTTAACTGCCTTTGGAACAGCAGCGGAAGAATAAGCCACCATAAGATGACAATTTGGCAACCTAGAAGATTTTGGGGCATCATGGCAAAAACCTTATTTCTACTACCACACCATCTAGCTCTCCAAGTTTGATGTTCACTTACAAAGCCAAATTAATTTTCAAAACTAAGAGAGGAAAAATGAACCTTTTATGGTGTGTTTGACAACTCTCTAAAATGGGACCAATATCATCTGTGGCCCTTTCAAAAAAAAATCATCCGTGGCCCTATTTGAGTTTTCCTTCGTTTGAAAAAATTAGGTGAGAATACACCTAGTTTTCCTAAGTCAATAAATAAATAATTAATTAAAATAAAAAAATAAAAATAAAAGTGAAAATAAATAAATTGTAATAGTTCTTTATTAAACTAAAGCCTTTTAAATGTTCTCTATTGAACTACCCCTTAACTTAGTTGTAGTCCGATTTAGGAGAAAAGTAGTGTAGGACTAATCTATCTCCTATTAACTTAGTTATAATCATTAATGAGCCATGTGGCTGAGAGGAGAGCTACATACGAAACAAATCTATCTCCTATTATTTTTATTTTTATTTAGTTATTGTCTTTTGAGAAGACCACGCTCTAATCCTTCCGTGTTACAGACCTCGAACCCTTATTTACTCTAAACATCGCCTTCATCTCTTTTAGTATATTAATTCTTTAACGAATTGCACCTCGAACCCTTATTTACTCTAAACATCGCCTTCATCTCTTTTAGTATATTAATTCTTTAACGAATTGCATCAAACAGACAAAGTCCAAATTTGAACAAACGCCCATATATGACCCTTTCCCTTGGACACGCTCGTATCCTTCTCTATATAAACAAACCTCTTAAGCATCAATCATCTCATCTTCTCAAAACTTTTCAACATTTCTCTTCATTAGAATTCTCAGCAAGCATTAATTAAGTGTAAGTTATGGCTTCATACTTGGCCAATTTCGAACAAATCTTCACCCGTTTCGATGCCAATGGTGACGGCAAGCTCTCACCATCGGAGCTCCAATGCTTGTTGAGGAGCATAAGCCAAGAATTGAGTCTCGAGGAAGCTGAGGCTGTGGTTGAGTCCAGCGACTCCGATGGTGATGGATTATTAGATATCAATGAATTCGCTAAATTTGTGGGCGACAAAAGCGAGACAGAGGAAGAAGAGAGGGAGTTGAGAGAGGCATATGAGATGTTTGTGATGAAGGAAGAGGGACATATCACGGCCAAGAGCCTGAAGAGGATGTTGAGTAGGCTGGGGACATCAAAGGCAATAGAAGAGTGCATGAGCATGATATGTAGGTTTGATGGTAATGGTGATGGTGTGCTTAGCTTTGATGAGTTCAAGGTGATGATTTGAAGTTGTTAAGAGTTTGGAAGATTGTATGTATATTCTGAATTAGTTGTTTGTCTTTATCATAAAATGTGATAAATTCATGAGTTGAATTGCTAGCTAGTACAGATCCTTTCTCTTTCTTGCAATTGATTCTTACTTAGACCTTATGCTACGAAATATTCACGCCAACTCTTGCATTGAATTATAAGCTTCTTCTAGAATGCCCAATCTTGTTGACTAGTTGGTTGATTTGAACTCTTGTAGCTTGATTGGTAAAGGGAATGTAAATGTTTCAACAGTACTTTTTCGCCGGCATTTTCATTTGTGAAGGTATAAAAAAGTCCGACTTTGACTCGTATCATCCCTTCCTGAATGTATAGCAACGCATTCTATGAGCCAATTCGAAGTCGTGGCATGTGCATGACAATTCCATGTCATGGAAGTATGCGTGGCTGATGAGTTCATGGAGACGTTGGATCCTCAGAAGTCTAAACAGGGATCTAGAGAAAGTCAATGATTTGCCTGTGAAGAAAGAATCTTATCTTCACCGCAAGTTTTTCAAACATATAACATAATTTTTTCGCATATTCGATGAGAAGGAATCAACCGCATCAACCCAAAGCTCGCTTTGTGTCGCTCAAATTCTTGAAAATTTTTAGTGGTATCTGTTGGGATTATGTCTTTGATCCTTTGTATAACTTCATGAGAATTAGATAGGGTTAGAGATCTATATATCATGATTAGGAGATTGGGTCTCATCATGGTTAGAAGTTTGAATCATATTCTAATTAGGAAGTTAGGCTAGAGATAGAGTTTTGGTTTCTATATATATATTCTTCTATTATTGGAGGAAAAACCAACGAGAGGAGAGAGAGCCAATAGTCTTATAATTTAGGGTTAGCAGAGGACGTGCTTAACTCAAGAATATTGTGCAAGAGGCGAGGGTTTCGTAATCTTTGTCCGTGTAAAAGATTACATCATTGGGAGAGAGTTTCCAAGTCTTTGTCTGTTCAAAAGATTGTAAGGAGAGGGCTTTGGAGAGAATATGAGAGTTGATTATATACGTGAGGTTGATAAATTAGAGGTTCATCTTGTAATTCTCCCTGATACATAGTAGATTTCTCATATTAATGTTTCCCCATGAACGTAGGTCGAAGTTAGTCGACCGAATCACGTAAATCTCGATATTCTTTCTTCTTGATTGTACTTGTTTTATATCTTATTGATTATGGGTTGGCTTCCAAGTTGTGGATATCGTAGTACGCGGAGAGACTAAAATTTCCCAACAATATCCTCTTTTTTCGCATTTACCTGTTTTTAGTACTAAAATAGGAGTTTTCTTGACTAAGAAATGAATTTGGTTTCAACTCAAATTTAACTCATTCGTTTCTTCAATAATAGAGTGTTTTTTTAACGTGTTTTAATATGTTCTGCCAGGATATCCAGAATATGTTATGCATCCTGTTTCACAATAAGATTTTAAATCTTAGAAATATTATTTTTTTGATCAATAGTATTTCTTCTTTAATATTTTTTTTATGGATTTGTAAATTAGTTATTTTCTTCATGAATTCAAAAGGCCCCTCAAAATCAGGCTACA